CGAAGCCCTTCGATCGGGTTTGGCACAAAACGCTTCTTTCGAAGCTCCCTTCCTATGAGCTTCCCGAGAAATTGTGCAATTGGATCATCAGCTTCCTTGCAGATCGGAGCATCCAGGTCGTTGTAGACGGTGCATGCTCTGACTACAAGCCTATTAACGCTGGTGTTCCACAAGGCTGTGTGCTATCACCAACGCTGTTTCTTCTGCATATCAATGATATGTCGCTAACTGGTAACATTCATTGCTATGCCGATGACAGCACTGGTGATGCTCTATACACCGGCCGTGCCAATATTTCTCGGGAAAACGTCGCCGAGTACCGGAACATACTTGTGTCTGAAGTCGAGTCTTTGCTGAACAAAGTCTCGGATTGGGGGCGACTAAATCTAGTCCAGTTCAATCCTCAGAAGACACAAGTTTGCGCGTTTACCGCTAAAAAGGACCCCTTTGTCGTATCTCCTCAGTTTCAAGGCACTCCCCTTCTTGCCTCAGCCAGTATCGGTATCCTCGGAGTCGACATATCAAGTGACGTGCAGTTTCGTAGTCACTTGGAAGAGAAGGCCAAATTGGCCTCTGAAAAGCTTGGCGTGCTCAGCAGAGCGGGACAGTATTTCATGCCGGCACACCGCCTGCAACTTTACAAGGCGCAGGTTCGGCCTCATATGGAATACTGTTCCCATCTCTGGGCAGGGGCTCCCCAGTGCCAGCTCCTTCCACTTAACCACATCCAACGCAGAGCGGCTCGAATCGTCGACGACCGAGCGCTTTCCGATCGGCTCGATTCATTGGCACTGCGAAGAGATGTTGCATCCCTTTGCATTTTCTTTCGCATCTACCATGGGGAGTGCTCTGAGGAATTGTTCGGATTAATCCCAGCCGCCAAATTTCACGAACGCACATCGCGGCAGAACTCCCGATACCATTCACACCATCTGGATGATTGGCGGTCCACCACTGTGCGATTTAGAAGATGTTTTCTTCCTCGCACGACTTCCTTGTGGAATCGATTACCATCAGCGATTTTTCCGGACCGATACGAATTAGGTCCCTTCAAGAAAAGAGCGTACTCCTTTTTAAGAGGCCTGCAACACATCTGCAATTCCCTCCCTGGTGTTGCAGTTTTTCATGGGCGGCGGTAGTCACTTACCATCAGGTGAGCCGGATACTCGTTTGCCCTATAAAAAAAAATAATTCTGAAGGTTCTGGTTCAGAATTAAAAAAGTTTATCTTTTTTAATTCTGAATATTGTAACTGAATATCTTCTAAAACGTTTATTAGTTTATTTGGATCAATTCTGACTTCGGAGCCACATTTTCAGGTATATCTTATAAGTTAGAAACCTCAGAAATTAAAGCCTCAATTTTTTTCCTTGATACATTCTGAAAATATCGAAAAAAAGTATTATTTTATGTAATAAAATTAAAGAAAAAGAAGAATAAAATTATGACAAAATAAATGGAATTAACGTTTATACAGACCTAAAAGTAGATTTTAACTTAACTGCTTTTTTTTACATACATACTTTGTTTTATAATTTATTTAATGAGTAACATCTTCAAAATTATCTTTAATTAAGCAATAAATTATTAAAAATATTAAAGTGATAAACTGCTAAATCCGTGTTCAAATAAAATAATAAAGTGCGTAAACCTGCCAATGTTTAGGTTAGGGGTTAAATATATAGAAAAAAAAAATTGATTTAGGCACTAAACGAAAAAAAAAACTTACAAATAAAACAATATTTGACTAAAACACGACAAAATTTGCGGGTTTGGGAACACTGTCAGTGTAAAACTGAGGCTCCAATAGCATTTGGCAGGTTTGCGTTGTGGAGATTGGCCGGCGGTCAGAAAGCAGTTTTTGGGCATAGCATTTGTCATCTTTTTAGGCTAATGTCGCTGTTATTTCTTAAATGTTACGGCAGATATTAAACTGAACTTTTTGACTTATATAAAAAGCAAATTTTGCCAAAACATTGGAGTCAGGCAGGCAAGCTAACAAATTAGGCCGACGACATGAGGACTTAGACTGGAAGCAACGGAAATTTATGAATCGTTAAAACGTTCGCTGAATTAATTCGAAGTTTGACCCTAGAACTTAAAAATAATCATAGTAAATGATAACATTTTAAACTGAAATGGTAATTTTTATAAATAATTGGAATACGGGGAATAAAAAAAAACCTTTAGCTGCTCAAGTTTTTTTTTGGTGACTCAGTCAGTAATAAAACGCCCGCGACGCAACTTAATGTATTCGGAACATTATGTATTATATATCTTTTGAGTCGATGATCCAAATGGGTCAAATGAAACATATCAGTGTTTCGGAACATTTCAGTGATCGAGATGCAAATGTTGCAATTGCAATAATGATACACTTTGCCCACCTCCAATAACCATTAACCACATACTTTATTCTATATTACTCTACTTTATGCTTTACTCTTACACTTATGATGCAACTCGAACTCTGTCTTCACTCGATTCAATCGAGTGAATTTGTGTAACTCGATACTCGATTGAAAATAAATTTTACTCGAGTCCGCTTGCACTCGATTTACTGAGTCAACTTGGCGCACCGCACCGTGTAGATTCGGAGAGCACTAGATGTCAGTTCACTAATTCACTTGTAGTATACGGCGTCGCAAGTGACGTTACTGGTTACATCCAAATTCAAACTTGCATCTGGCATGTTGTAGTCAAATATGAACTTAGTTTGATTTATAATATTGTGGTTGTGATATCATTGTTGTTTATTTTTTGTTACTTCGTATAAATAGGTAGTGCATAACATAAAAGGTGATTTAAATATACTTGTTTGTTCAAAGTATGAATGATAACAATGAAACAACAAAACAAAAATCGTCAGTGTGGCATTATTTTGACAAATGGAAGCGATTAGTAAGATATGCGAAAAGCAGTTTATAGATTTTGAAATACTACACATATCTGTAATAAATAAAAAACATAGAAATACTACAATTAAATAAATAATAAATATTTGTATTTTATTTCAGATTTCCACCTATTACTTATTTAACTAAGGTAATCGCTATTGTCAACTCGAGTGATAAACTTCAATCGATGCAGGGACTGTAAATAGTTAATACTAATATATTAAAAACTCGATTACAACTAGAATGACATGATAAAACCCGAGTGACTCGAGTCACAAAATTCTACTCGAGTCGCATCTTTATCTTACGGTCAGTGCAGTGTCTATCTACAATTTAGTGATGAACTCGACTTACTAATTCGAGCAATTTATTAATATTTTATGTAATGTCAATAAGATGATTAAGTATAATTTGTGATAGTTAAATTATTAATAACATTAACTTTACGCTACGACATAAAGTTAGAGTGATATTATTTTATGAAGATTTTCTATACGCAAGCCAATAATATATAAGTACCTATTAAGTTAAGTAACAAGAATAATTATCTTGGATGGAAGAAGAAATATAAAAATAATTTGTAAGAAACTGATACAGCTTCGTTCCGCCAATTCGACTTGAGTAACTCGAGTACTATTCGAGTTACGTGAATTTCAACTCAAGTTAACTTGAGTCGAGTTTCTTCCGAGTTGGCACTTCTCTACTACATTTTTTTTTATTACTACATTGTCTGAAGTCTGAACCATTGACATGAACATAAATATCATCTTTTTTTTTCAGATTTCTTTATTCCGTTTAGATTTTCATAAAATCTTTAAGCTATTTACAATAATAAATTGGTATCTTTTTTTGTATATTATATAATACCATTGAGGGTCGCGGAAATTTCTAGTGGGCCCAAAAACGATTGACTCCTTTGATTTACAATTCTGAACGTCGTGTCCAACGTGCAAGCAATTAAAATAGATGTTTTTATTTTGCACGAATGAATATCTATTTTGTGGAGAAAGATTTAGAAACTGTGAACATATAGTTAAACAAGTTCTAACCTTATTACCATTACTTTTAGATCGAGACTGTTCTATGGGTACATTAAGGTTAGTAATCGAAGAGCGTTGTACAACTTCACGATAATGTACTTCTCGACTGCGCTGATTCGCGGCAAGGTTCCTTCCCTCTAGTGGGGAGAGTCCGAAGGACTGTTACTGATATTGCTGTCACTATGGTAACCAAAGTAAACAACGTATCCAGTGGTACATACATTTATTTCAAATTCTCAACGCTATGTCATTTCTAGTACAGCAACTCAATAATGCGTATTTTATTAGGTGAGCGGCATCTAGCGTGCAATGGCGGAACAACAATACTGTCTATCTTCTACGGATACATAATATTATACTCAACATACCGCCCACCTAGAACAACATTGTTCTACACCATGTACAAGTTTCAAAATACAAAATAAACTAATGCTAATTAACAAATCGATAAACTTACATTAAAACATTATTTAGTTACTGGTAATATACAAATTTTGTTTGTCGGTCGCTTAACAACAGTATTTTTTGTCTTTATGGAGACTACGCGAGTAATTTTGTCCGGACCCGGATGTTTCGCGACTACTCTGCCATACATCCACCGACAAGGTGGTAGATGGTCTTCCTTAACGATGACAACATCGCCTAAATTAGGTTCCGTCGTTTGGGAGAAACGTTTATCGCTTTGGAAAAAACGTCGTAAATATTCAGACGACCACCTTCGCCAAAAGTCCTGAACCATTTTTTGCGTATATTGCCATCTACGCAATGAACTAATATTTGAGGATTCAAAATTCAGATCCGGAGCTACTAGCGGAGGTTCACCTATTAAAAAGTGTCCCGGTGTTAATATGTTCCCGTGTTCATTATCGTCACACAATCTAGACAATGGCCTGGAGTTTAGACATGCCTCGATTTGCGCCAAGACTGTCGCCATCTCCTCAAAGGTCAGCGTCGAATTTCCAATAACACGTCTTAAGTGATACTTCACCGATTTCACACCGGCTTCCCATAACCCTCCGAAGGTTGGGGCATGAGATGGAATGAAATGCCACGTGGTGCCGTTGTTAGCCAATGATTCGGCTACTTCTGCCACCATATTGCATTTTTCCGTACGTAAACAAATGGGCAAGTTCCTTAGATGCGCCCACAAAATTCGTCCCGTTGTCGCTCCATATCTCTTGACAATGACCTCTGCGAGCTACGAATCGTTTGAAGGCCTGTAAGAAACCTTCACTGGTAAGGTCGGAGACGACTTCCAGGTGTATTGCTCTAGTTGCCATGCACACGAACAGGCATATATACCCTTTATAAGAGCGGTGTCCCCTTCCTTTGGAGACCCTTAGCTGAATAGGTCCAGCATAGTCTACTCCGCTGCACTTAAATGGTCGTGTTGGAGTAACACGAACAGCAGGTAATTGGCCCATTAATTGATTTTTTGTAACTGCCTTGGATTTAACGCAGGTTACACATCTATGGACACAAGCCTTAACTAGTTGTTTTACGCCAAATATCCAATAGGTAGCATTCAGAACGGTAAGCATTAGTTGTGGACCACCATGCAGAGTTTTCACGTGAGTATCTGAGACAATTAGCTTCGTGAGATTACAAACCTTGGGCAATATGATCGGATGTTTCTGGTTATTTGATAGCTGGGATTCCTAACCGACCGCCCACCCTGAGGATATGTCGATTATCCAAGTACGGCGTGAGTACCCATAGCTTACTTCTTTTGTTTACGCTGCCTTCTCTTTGTAGCTTCTCTATCTCTTCCTGAAAGTGTTTCCCTTGACACTGTTTAATCACACATACTAACGCTTCTTTCAATTCATCCCCAGTTAGGTAGTTCATGAATTTTTGCCTTGAAGAGTGTCTTAACCCTAGGAACCGCCTACAACGTGCTAGTACTCGTAAGAGTCTGGTGAAAGATGAATAATTGTCCCACAGCTGCTCTTGGAGTGATGCACAATGAACGCGCACTTCTAATTCTGTACGAATATTTGGTTTTTCGTATAAAACCTCTTTATCGCGAAGGAATTCGGGGCCATCAACCCATAGATTGCTCTTTAACAAGTTTAGAGGACTCATTCCTCGGGAAGCAATATCTGCAGGATTTTGATCAGATCGCACGTGACACCATTGGCTTGAATCCGTCACTGATAAGATTTCAGAAACTCGATTTGCTACGAAAACCTTCCAGCGACTCGGGTGATCACTTAGCCACGCAAGAACAACGGTAGAGTCAGTCCAATTATGCCAGTTTGATTTGTCAACGTTCAGTGCTTGTCCGATATCCACCATTAATTTGGTTAAAAGTAGAGCTCCGCACAACTCCAATCTAGGAATAGATACTTGCTTGACAGGTGCTACCTTAGTTTTTGCTGCAAGAAGTGAAACGTTAACGTTGTCTGTTGAATCGATCACACGAAGATACACTACAGCTCCGTAGGCAGCTTGAGAGGCATCACAAAATCCATGAAGTTGAAGTTGGGCATCGCTTGACTTCGAACGCAACCATCTAGGAAGATTAAAATCAGATAAGTCTTCAAGATTATTCCTGTAGTTATTCCATTCCAATTTTAATTGCTCTGGCACTTCTTGGTCCCAGTCTATTCCTGTAAGCCACAGCTTTTGTATTATTATCTTCGCTAAGACTACACTAGGTGCAACCCAACCTAACGGATCATATAGACGACAGATATCCGAAATAATGTTCCTTTTTGTTACAGGTCCCACAATTTCCGGTAAAGCAACGACGTACTGAAAAGTGTCTGTGCTACGTTTCCAGGTAAGACCTAGTACCTTCGTAACTTCATTCATTTTTAAATGTAATCCATTATCCTTTTCTTTTTTTCCTTTTCCTTCTAGTTTCTCAATTTCCTGAAGAATTTCATTATTATTACTGGTCCATTTTTGCATTTCAAACCCAGCTCCCTTTAATATGTCACTGATGTCCTTATATATTTTGACTCCATCCACAACATTTTCACATCCCGTCATTAGATCGTCCATGTAGAAGTCATTTAGTATTTTTTGACAAGCATATTGCTTGGTACCATCCGTCACATCCCGAGCAGCCTGTTGCAATGACCTAACGGCCAGAAATGGGGCACACGCAGTACCAAATGTGACTCTTAGAAGGCGGTAATCAACTAAATCCGAAGATGGATCATCCCGCCACAACAATCTTTGACTGTCAACATCTGCTAAGTTCACTTTGACCTGCCGATACATTTTTATGATATCCGCTGCTAAACAGATAGGTGATAGTCTCCAACGCAGTATAATGTGTCTTAAATCGGCTTGTAACGTTGGTCCCGTTAACAAATTATTATTAAGCGAAACTCCATACCTTCCTTTACAGGATGCGTCGAATACCACTCTTACTTTCGTAGTATCTTTATCGCTACGTGCTACCGCGTGATGAGGTAAGTAGAGCGCCGTCTCTAGGTATTTTTGTGGGTCTGACACTCTCTCCATGTGTTGCAACTCCAAGTATTCGTTCATTACTTCCTTATATTTATTCTTTAGTTCCGTATTTCTGTTTAACCTTGCTTCTAATGAATTTAACCTTTTTTTAGCTATTTCCCTACACGTGTCATGCTTGTAACTTGGATCCTTGGGTTTGAAAGGTAAGCGAACTACAAACCTGCCATCGACATCTCGGTAAGTAGTCTTACTATAATAATCCTCACACTGAATTTCCTCCTCTGTTAACAACGGTTTAGTGGGTTCTGTATCCGACTCCAGTTCCCAAAATCTTCTGAGTAACGCATCATCATCAAGGCGTGAGTGGAACGTTACTATGTTCGACCTTGGTACTTTTGCATTGGTAATACCACCAGACAGCACCCAGCCCAAAGCCGTAAACTGGGCTACTGTTAATCCATTAGGACTCCTTTTTATTCCGTCCCGTAATACTTGGGTGTAAACTTCCGCTCCCAACAGAAGGTCTATTCTGTTAGGTATATTGTATCCTGGGTCTGCTAATTCTATTTCATCGAGTTCCAGCCATTCCATCGGTGGCATCTCCTTACTAGGTAAGAGTGCCGTGATAAGGTTTAGCACATAAGCCTTCACCAAAATCACGAAATTTGGATCAACTCTCGAACGAATCTCCAACGTAACCATTGCTCTGGAAACTGCCTTATTGTTTCCACCTATTCCCATAATATTACCCTTTATCGGAAACTTTTTAAGGTTCAGATATTGCACCATGGCTTCCGTTACGAAAGACGCTTGCGAACCTTGATCCAACAAAGCTCGCAATGTATAATTCCTGCCATTTTGTGCCTTAGCTTGCACTAAAGCAGTAGCCAACAAAACTTGCTCGTATGATCTACCAGTTGAGAAACACGTCATAACCTGACCTTGCACACTGGTCGCCCCGGATTGTCCGGTTTCTGAGCTACTTGGTTCATGATTATTGGCATCAGTGTTCGTGGTCTTACTATTTACTGGATGTAATAAAGTGTGATGACGCTTTTTACATTTATGACATTGGATATAATTTTTACAGTACCTTGCCGAATGACTCTCACCAAGACAATTAAAACATAAATGATTGTCCCGGACAAAATTACGTCGTGATTCACTATCCTTACTTATAAATTTCTTACATGAACTTAGCTTATGGTCTTCAGAACAATAAGGGCACTTAAAATTAACAACATGGAACGTTTTAGGTCTAACTTGCTGTTTTGACACATTTGGTTTATTTGCCTCTAAAGCTTCTAAAGCTCGAGCCCTATCCGTTAAAAACTTTTTAAATTCCTCAAAGGTTGGCAAAACATCAGAAGAACTATTATTGCTACTAAAGAACTCCCATTGGCGTCTTGACTCTTGATCAAGTTTTAACGATAACATATATATTAGCATCACATCCCAGTTAGATACATTTACACCTAAGTTACTTAAACCATTTAAACAATCACAAGTTGTGTCTATCAAACATTTTAAATATTGAGCCGATTCGCCAGTAGCATTACGTAAATTAAATAGTCTTTGCAAAATATTTTTGGTGAGAAATTTCTTATTATCATAACGTGATTTAATTGTTTTCCAAGCTGTTTGGTAGTTTTCCGACGATATCGGAATTTGCCTAAGTAACTGTTCCGCTTCACCAGTTAAATAACCCTTAAGGTAGTGCATTTTTTGTACGTTATCTAATGATTGACAGTTATGCACCAACGAGGTAAACAAATCTCGAAACGTAACCCACTCTAAGTAGTTTCCCGAAAATGTAGGTATAATAATTTTTGGTAATTTAACTTGTGACGAACTTGTTTTTCATTCTGTATTCTCGCAACTACCTTCCGTTTTAAAACTATGAAGCAAAGATAACAATTCAGCCTTATAATCAATGAAACATTCTTCTGTACTGTCATATACATTTTTGACATAGTACTGACTACTCCTAAATTCTTTAGATTCCGATTCCCTAACAAGTGTTTCATGAGTCTTGTTAAATTGTTGCCATAATTCATCCAAATTAGTTAATCTAATTTGTACGTAAGACGGGGTTAGTCGCTCCTTAGGCGACTTCTTTAAATTCTTTCTAGCCTTAGAAATTCTATCTGAAATATCGTCTTGAAATTTTAAAAGGCCTTCCATGTTAACAAAAAGATTATTACTCGAATTTAAATCGGATATCAACAACGAAAAAATTTCACAAGTTCAACAAAGTAAAATTTTCTAAGTCCCCTTAATTGAATTTAAAACTTTTACAAGTCCCAATATGTTGCGCGTATACAATTATTCTAAGTCCACTGAATAGATGTTAAAATTTTTACAAGTCTTTTTTATCAATTTAACTCTAGGTGAAATCCGGCATGGATTCCCCGTAACAACCAATATTACACTAAAAATTTTACAAGTCTAAATGTCATATAAATATTTTAAGTAAACACTACTCGAAATTTTAAAGTTATTTTTTACAAATATTTAGAGTTCAAATTGGCAAATCACTTACAATATTTCACTCCGTTTTATAAAGTTTAAATTGGAACAGACTCACAATTTCACCGCACGATGTCCTTACACCGCCACGCGTCGCTGGCGCCGCTGACGTCAACGCTCCTCCTCCCTTGCTCCTTGGCTCGTCCGCACCCCGTACTGCCCGTCACTCGCTGGCGAGTCTTGCACGGCACCCGTGGAGGGCGGCTAGGCTCGTCCCGATACAGCGATCCACTGCCAAGGGTACGAAGGGGGCAACAGGGTTCCCTCCCTGCTGATGATGCACCACTTCTTGCCGCAATCCCGTTCGAAGGACCAATGTACAACTTCACGATAATGTACTTCTCGACTGCGCTGATTCGCGGCAAGGTTCCTTCCCTCTAGTGGGGAGAGTCCGAAGGACTGTTACTGATATTGCTGTCACTATGGTAACCAAAGTAAACAACGTATCCAGTGGTACATACATTTATTT